GAGAGAGGCCCCGTGGATGAGAACAGAGCCACCCCACCGACACCAGGTGAGGGAAGATTTAAGCTTCTCGTAAAGTCCTGCCCAAACTCCCCAGCACAGGATCATGGGCAGTGAGGCGGCCGTGGTTTTGAGCCCCTGAGTTTCGGGTGGCTTGTCATTGAGCAAATGATAACTGAAGCAACAAAAGTGCTGACCTGTAAAGAGGGAGTGAAGGGACAAGGCAGCGAGTGCTGCCTGCATCACCCGGGCTGCATCGGATGCTGTGTGTAGTGACGGAGAACCGCCTCCTCATGGGTCATTCCCCAGCTCCCAGCTCAGGAGACAGGCTCCCGAGTAGCCACAGGCACACCCGCGTGATGCTCGTCCATGCCAGCGCTGTGCCTGCACTCACTCAGCCTCACCACCCACTTCTGCGGCAAGGGCGCTGTCACCAGTGGGAAAACTGAGGCTCGGAGGGGTGGGGAAACCTGCCCAAAGTCGCACAGCCGTGAGTGGCATTCTGTCCGTGGTCCTCCAGCACCAGTTTGGGCTTTCAGCCTCCATGCATCTCTCTGCCAGGAGCCAGGGGTCAGGGAGGGGCCGGCCTGGTCCCTTCACTATGAGAAAGCTGTTGAGGGGGAGGCTGGCTGATGAAGACGCCGACCATGCCCTCTGCCCCGCTGCTGGGGGTCCCTGAGCGGAGGCCTCCTCTCCCCTCTCCCTTTCCAGCGCCTGCCTGGCCAGGTCTAAAAGCTCAGGCCCTGCACCCGCATGCAGCCGGGGCCTGCATGCAGCCGGGTCCCCCGGTGTGTGGGGCCCGCATGCAGCCGGGTCCCCGGTGTGTGGGGCCCGCATGGAGGCAGGAGTCAGGACCAGGTCTCTGCCAGTGACTTGACCTTTACATATTCCACCGAACCAGAAAAGAACCGTGGCTGCTGTGCAGCCCTGCTATTTAGAATTTTGAAGTTTTATTCAGATTTTTCCAAGAAAAGATAATTTTTAAAATTTAAAACATCATTTTAAAGTTGTTACATGCTTAGAAGTTTACTTTTAATTATTCAGGGACCATATCCATACTGGTCGGTACAGTTTGATAAAATTTACTTCTAAAGATCATACTGATGCCACGGAGTGAGGCATCCCCACGCACATGTGTGTTCTCTATATTTTATACCCAGTAGAGATTCTGACTCAGCTGAGTGTAATAGGTTTATAAAGCTTTCATTTCTCCTTGTCGCCTGGAGGCGGGTCCAGCAGGGAGACTGTGGCTCTGCCTCTCTGGACCGACGGTTGAGAGGCTCAGTCTCATCTGAAGCTGGTCAGGAACCACGCAGCCCCTGGGGCCCTGGGGTCAGCTCTGGTCGTCAACCCCGGTCAGGCCTCCTTGCACAAACAAGTGCACACCGCCCCCTTCTCTTGGGGATCCCGCCTCCTCCCTGCTCTGGTCCTTCCCCCTGCGTTCCTGTGGCAACGCGGTCGTGTCCTGTTCTCCATTAGGCGGAGGACCGGCCGCCTTAGATCCTCACCACCATCTCTGCAGCGAATCAAGAAAAACAAACCTCGGGTTGGCCACGGGCCGGACCTGGGCTGTGGAAAGCAGTCCTGATCATCTGACCCTGTACAGCATGAAATTACCCTTCTGCTTGCTTCACATTTTCCCCTCTATAATGTACTTTGTTTAATAGTCATAGAGCCACCTTCGGGTTTTTTTTTTCTGATTAGTGTGAGCCTGGTATGTCTGCGTCTAGACCAGCCGTGGGCAAACTACGGCCCGCGGGCCGGATCCGGCCCGTTTGAAATGAATAAAACAAAACAAAACAAAAAGACCATACCCTTTTATGTAATGATGTTTACTTTGAATTTATATTAGTTCACACAAACACTCCATCCATGCTTTTGTTCCGGCCTCCGGTCCAGTTTAAGAACCCATTGTGGCCCGCGAGTCAAAAAGTTTGCTCACCCCGGTCTAGACTTTTACTTATGACTTAGTCGTGTCTTTATTATGAAAGTGTGTTTCTTGTAGACAGCATGTAGCTTGGCCCGACAGCCTCTGCCTTGCGGTGAGGCGAGTCCCTTCTGAGTACTCGACCCAGTGCCCAGAGGGGTGAACGTGTCCAGTGGGGCTAGTGAAAGGGTTTCCTTACACATCCCATGTTAATTCCGGGCGCTCTCTCCTCGCATCTTTTTGGAGGTTTCTTTTCCTTGCCTCCTGTATTTTTTCACGTGCACGAGTTGATCCGTTCTTTGCTCAATACTCAGGTGTACTCTGCAGACCTACTAGGCCTGTCTCTTCGTGTCAAGTCCTCTTTCTCTTTCTCTCTCTTTCTCTCTCTCCCCCCTCTCCTCTCTCTCTCTCTCTCTTTCGCTTTTTCACTGTGAGCTCTCCCTGCCTTGGTCTCCCTGGACTTTAGCTCCAGCCTCTTCACTTGGGCTGGCTCCCAGCCCCATCCAGGTTCCCCTCCCTGACCTGCATCCTGGAGACTCAGGCATACGCTGGGGCAATGATACGCCTTTCTTCCTTTGTTTCCCATTTCTCAAGGCTCCCTGTCTGTCACTGCCCGAAGCCCAGAGTCTTGGGAAACATTTTTCATGTGTTGTTTCTGTTTTATTAGTTGTTTGAGGCTGGTGCGTAAGTCTGTCCCTGTGGGAAGTGGGCATCCCAAGACAGGGAGGTCCCTCCCCCTGTAGTGAGCAGAGGCTGAGCGCAGAGGCAGATGGTGAGCCTGGGAGGAGTTTGATGAGTCTCCCACTATTCAGCTGTGAAGAACAATATGCTCTCATTTTTTTTAAGCAATTTATAAGTCTGTTGGATGCAACAGATTTATAAATTGAATTAGGCCACTTAGTTATTCGCTATTTCCATCTTTTCTTAGACTTTTCACACTCTGTGATTTCCTTTTCTGTGGAACTTAAAGATATAAAATCACGGGAAAATAAATTATTCTTGTATACAATTCCCAACAAACCAGCAAACTAACTAACTAACACGTAAGACCTCAAGGGTATTGGGCAAACACTTGGGCCAACTCTGGGCGTCTGTTTTCACCTTCTAATCATGAGTCAAAGTCACTACTTGCAGAACTGCCGTCACACCTCACAACAGAACGAATCACCTCATCTAACTCTGAAGTGAAGGGACATAACTCTGTTGTCAATTTTCTTTATATATAAGGACTCCCTCCAAGTAGAAAACATACAGAGTTAAATCTTTCTGCAGGAATAATAGAAACTAGATTTGCTGCGGGTTTCATTCTTGAAGGAGAATGACAAGTTTCATGATTTTATCAGCCTGCCACTGACAAGGCAGCAGGACCTCTCAGACCAGGAAGGCTTCCGTTACAGACGCTCCACAACCTTCTTGAGAGGCCAGACAGATATTCCAGGGAGAGCAGTCGGAGCTCAGGAAGGAGGAGTCCGAGAAATTGGACATGAGGAGAGTCTTTATGGGAAGAAGTGACAGGAAACCCGAAAAGCAAAGACTGAACTCTCAGAGGACTCCCGAGCTTGCTGATGGCAATGCGGCCCAGACGTCCAATCTCACTCACTCAGTTTCCTTTGTTGTTAGAAGAAAGACATGCAAACATAGTGTCTCTAAGGGTGTTTTAATTGCTCAGAACATGTGTTTGATTTAATGAGGCACCGGAACCCAGACATCTTCCAACTCAGCCTTCCACAGAGGATGATGATCATACCACGGATCTGGCTCACTCATTTCAGGTCCAGACAAAAGAAAAGATGAAAGAGTGGGTGGGACCTCAGGGAGATCTTATTTGACAGGGAGGTGACATGATTCCAGCAGGAAAATACTTCCTGTTATCTGTTGTTTATCAACATCCAAGACAGCCTTCCTTCCCTGACACACAAAATACAGTGCATCCAGAACTCAGCATCTGTAGAGGCCAGTTCTAAATAGATATGAAGCTGTTTTGGAGGGGTGCTTTACCTTTAAATCTTAAAAAAACAAAAACAAAAAAACCCATGAGTGGCTGGAACATTAAAATAATTACAGGGAATTAAAAAATCTGTTTGGGGGTAGATTTTCGATTGCATTAGACTCCTGGAAAAGTCTCTTTGTCTTCCTGGCAGTAGCAGTGTGTGTTACCTTGAGCTGCTCTATGCTGGCACTGTTAACAGTGGGGATTTGTAACCTACCCTACCATTCTTTTTGAGAAAATATATTTTTATTATTGATTTTAGGAAGGAAGGGAAAGGGACAGAGAGATAGAAACATCAATGACAAGAAAGAATCATTGATCGGCTGCCTCCTGCACGCCTCACCCTGGGGGTTGAGACCACAACCCGGGTATGTGCCCTGAGTGGGAATTGAACCGTAACCTCCTGGTTCATAGGTTAACCCTCCCCCACTGAGGCATGCCTTCCAGGCCCTACCATTCTTTTGACCTATTTCTGTAAATGCGGACTCTGACTAAAATGTAGCTTGCAGATAAACGTAAGAATCCTAGGAACGAACTTCAGAAGATGCAGGCTCTGACTTTCAGGCCTCCCTGTTCCAGGAGGTTTGCTGACCTTCAGCAGAAAGACCAGGATGACCTTGGTTCCGGCTACAGCACCTTCAGAAAAGCTTCCAGATACACCTTGTTATGGCTCAGCTCACACCTTATCTCCTCCACCTGCTTTTGCTCCTAACTGTTTGTCTGCAGAAGTGGTTTGATCCACAGGCAACCACCCTATCAACACCACGGTGATGGCACCACCAGCTGCCCTCAGAAGCAGCGCTCCAGTAACTCCTGCTGGACTTTGGGCCAGAGGCATGCTCACCAGTGTAATAACTTTGCTCATTTAATAACTTAGCAGTTCAGGGACAATGGGCCAGGGTAGAGGTCCAGGAGGGAGAGCCCAGGTGCCTAACAAGGACAACACTACAAGCCATTCCCTGAAGCACGAGCCCCTGGAGATGAGATGCAGGCGTCAGCTGTGTGTGTGTCAGCTCCAGGCCCAGCAAAGCAGCAAGACCAGGCGGGGGGGCGCTATGGCTGACAGTAAGACCAGCTGCACTGACTAATGACCCTCGTGCCGACCAATCAGTGGAGACCATGACCCCGACGAGACGCACCAGGAGAGCTGGTGAATGTTCTACAAAAGCCTCAGGATGCCCAGCCCTGTGGCTCAGGAGGTCAACCGTTCGATTCCCGTCAGGGCACAGGTCCTGCTTGGGGGCTGCAGCCAACCAACGATTCTCTCTCATTGTTGATGTTTCTGTCGCGCTCTCCCTCTCTCTTCCTCTCTCTGAAATCAATTTTTAAAAAATTTACCAAAAATAAGGCCTCAGGATGCTCGACCCAGCTCTCTCTATGGAACACGCCAGCCAGCACCTTTTCCACCTCCTTTCCCCAGGGGTGCTCCCCCCTCCCCGCCCCTGCCACTCCCCGACCCTCTCCTCCCTCTTTCATCTCTCAAGGCACATCTCTCTCCTAAGCTCCCAGCGTCTGTCTTCTGCTGTAACTTGTTCCTGAGCTTATTTCTCCAGCTCACTTCTTCCTCTGTGATTTTCTAAATAAACTTTCTCCTATAATTTGAGTCTTGGCTCTGAATTCTCTCCCAGCCGGAACTCAAGAACTGAGGTGGCTGAACCGAGGCCGACAGAGGGCTCCCCTTCTTCCAAATCTGAGCCGCTCCAAGTTTATCTCTGTCTAGACAGCGCTAGGCCCTTTTGCTAGCACCGCCATCAATATTTTTGCATGTGAATTGCTCTTATGAAATAGGCTTTGCCAATTAAGTGTTTTTTTAAAAAGTTAAGACATTTGTTTTACTTTTTAAATTTTAATACCTCATATTTTAATTTCCCATCGAGCACCATTATTCAAATGCCCGAGCATCGCATTTATGAAGAAGTCACAGCACACTTTGGTGTTGGTTTGCTTTATGGGCCATAATAAGCCGAGTATAAATGGCCGGCACTTGCAGTAGCTGCCCTGGGCTCTGGGGCAGATAAGACATCTTCCTGCAGGGCCCGGAACAGGAGCCCGGCCTGCCTGCCCCGCCACTGCCGCTGAGGTCAAAGAGGCCATGAGGCTGGCGTGGGACCCTCTCCCCGCACAGCCGCTGGCCGGCCTCAGGGTTGGGGTTCTGGCTCCAGCAGCCTTGTTGGCAGGAAGTGGGGCCTCTGGGCCCCATGTAGACATGAACCCCGGGAAGCCCAGCGAAGAAGGCCCCCTGGGGGAGAAACACGTGTCCGCATGTTTTCCCTCTTCAGTCACTGGGAGGAGTCGGGGCAGAGATGACCGAGGGTGAGAACGGACAGATCTAGAACGGAGGGAGCTGAGAGTGGAATCAAAGCAAGCGAGGCAGAGAGGAGGGGGAGGGGCGAGGAGGGGAGGCCCGCCCACTCGTGATCGCACGTGCGCACCACCTCCCGTGGGAAGAGGAGGCCGCCTGAGTCCACCTAAGCTCTGCCGGGGCGGGAGGGGGGAACCTGGGTGTGATGGGGCGGCACGTGGACCGGCCTGAGGCAGGGCCAGACCAGACAGACGGGGTGGTGTGCCCACAGCGCTTCTTGGTCCCCACCGGCCCTCACCAAGCCACGCCCCACGTGGGGATCCCGGGCCCCAACAGCTGTGCCAGGAAGCCGCACCCGTATGGCGGTGCTGGGGGTCCCGCAACCGAACACAACCGCACTGTCCCCAGAGAGCGGGGAGGCAAGGGCATTGCTTTCCTGCCTGCGAGCTGAGTCCCCGGGAGGAGCAGAGCAGGCGCAGCGCCCTGGTGGATGAGAAGGTGCCCCTCCAGGTGGGTGGACCGGCCTGCGGGATGAGTGAGGAAAAGGCCACTGGCTCCGTGCCTGGGATGAGGGAGGCGGAGCTGGCGTTGGTGGGGCCTCAGCCCACAGGGCCTCTGTTCTGGGCACACTCGTGCCTGGTGGAGTCTGCCCAGAGCATGTGGACCCTTCAGTGACAGTCCCTTCCTCCCGCCCCAGGAGATGGGGCAGGAGAAGAAAAGCAAGATTGATGGGTGAAGGAAGAATCCAGGGAAATGAGACAGGAGGCGATGGTTTTAAATTACAACTCAAGTTTTCCAAATCACGGGATACACTTTCCACCCCGTTCACACAGCGTCCCCTGAGCTGGTGGTTGCGACAGGGCGGTGCTCCCTGGAGAGAGGACCGAGCAGCCCTGCTGTACAGGACGCGGGGGCTCCTGCCCCTGCGGGCTGCCCTTCTCGCCACAGTCTGACCCGGCAGAAGCTCCTGCCCACAGGCCATCTGTGGCCCCTGCCGCTGAGAACTCAACCCGTGACACAGGCCCTTCTCTCCTTCAGAAACTGCTCCCACCTTTCCTCCCGCCTCACAGCCTCACACGTGCCTTCGCCCTCCCTGGCCAGGCTCCTCCTCTGGTCCGTTGCCCAGCAGTGGGCGGGGGTGCAGGCTCCTGCATTTGAACACGAGCTCTGGGCTTCCCTGCCCCAGGGTGGGTGCAGCCAGCGGCCAGTTAGGCCGTCCTGTGAGCGGGCAGTGGGAATTCCGCTGCCAAGTGGAGGGCTTCCCGTACCCATTCCCCTTCCCACCAGTGTCACAGAGAGGCAGCAGCTCCTCTGCAGCCAGGCTTCTGAAAGGGATCGCACCTGTCAAAGCTCTCAGCTCTATGCTGTTGTTTTTATGGTTTGATCAGTTACCCAGCACGTGATGTTCCTGTAACCCTGCCCTGTGCCCGCGAAGAGGGTGGAATACCTGCCGGGCTTTCAGGAGAGTCTGTCGGCTGCATCAGCCAGAGCTTTATGTGACTTACTTCCTGTTCAGGGACCCGCTTAGCACGTTTTCTCCTGTGTTCTCAGATTCAGACTCGCTTCCTTCCTTCCTCCCTCCCTCCTTCCTCATAGATTTGGTCACCCTGTCCATTGCGTCCCCACAATCCTGGTTCTATCACACACTAACGCTTGATTGCACGTAGAATCTTACACATGATTTCACTTTCCCAACCAGTGTTTCTCCATCTCTGCACTATTGACATTGTGGGCCAGATAGCTCTTTGCTGTGGGGGGTGTCCAGTGTGTTGTGGGATATTTAGCATCATCCCTGGCCTCTACCCACTGGATGCTACCAGCATACTCCTCCCTCCAGGGGTGACAACCAAAACTGTCAGACAGATGTCCCTTGGGAGGCTAATGGACAATGAGAACCATTGTTCTAGACCAGTGGTTGGCAAACTCATTAGTCAACAGAGCCAAATACCAATAGTACAACGACTGAAATTTCTTTTGAGAGCCAATTTTTTAAACTTAAACTATATAGGTAGGTACATTGTTATTAACTTAATTAGGGTACTCCTAAAGCTTAGGAAGAGCCACACTCAAGGGGCCAAAGAGCCGCGTGTGGCTCGTGAGCCGCAGTTTGCCGACCACGCTTCTAGACTCTAAGGTCAGAGGGCGGTGACAAGGTTATACTTAACTTTAACTTCCTGGCACCTAGCAGAACCCCTGCTCTGAGAATCAAGTGAACCAATCCATGTCCATATGGTATTAATATTCAGTAAATGTTAACTATTCTATTAGACTCTGTTCTCGTTGAGTTTTGGTCAAGTGGGGAAGACAGATAATAACAAATAATCATGCAAATCTATAATCAGCCGCCAATTCTATAGCAACGTCAGGGAAGGCTACCTGAGGAGGCAAAGCTTAAGCTACATCTTAAGGACAAGTAGGAGTTCACTAAGCAAGTGTCGGCACACAGAGGCAGCTTAACCACTTCCTTCTTTCTAGGAGCTGCTTGCAGAAACTAGTTCAGGAGGCCTGAGGCGGGCCTGGGAGGGGGTTACCTAAGGCTCTGTCCATCAAGACAGCAGTCCATGGCGCTGCAGAATTGTCAGTGTGTCAGGGTGGAGACCAGACAAGGGAATGCAAGTTAGAGAAAGTCTGATCTGTTCTCCAGCTCCAAAACCCTCTTCCTGAGCTGGGAGCCCAACATATTACGATTCTCTTGGACTCCTCTCCTTTTAAAGAGACTTCTCATTTAAAATAATTTCTAATGCTCCTCACCTCCAGCTCAAGTGAGTGCCCCTGACAGCGGTTCCCAGTCCGGCTGGATGTTGGCTAAGCTTCTTTATCCTCATGTTCTTTTTGCTACTTACTAGGATCTGTGTGAGGCCCTGGGTCCCCTGTGAACAATCCACTTTCTTCAGAAGCATAGAGCTTGCAAAACTGTGAGTTTATACCAGAAGGGGTGTTCTAGAGAGGCCTCGTTAGCTATTTATGAGTGAGCGATCGAAGAGCAGGATTTTGTGAACTGACTTAACTTGCCTTTTTTACCTTGTGTGAGTTCAGTTTCAAATCCAGCAAGACTGAATTCATAAATGGGATGGTGTTAGGAACCTGTAAACGCTCTCCAGCACTCCCCTAGCCGGTCAAGGCCTGAGCAACTGGAGACCTTGGATGCAAGGACCAAATCACCAAACACCTACTATGCTACCATTAGAGCACAAACCTTTATAATCACGTACGTAATTACATATGATTTAAAGAAGGTAGCCACACAGTACGTTTCAGACGCCCTGACTCTTTGACAGCCCAGTGAAGCACAGGATCCAATGAGCCTGTTTGTGGCATTCTAAATACAGCCCCTGGAAGGTCTTTTAATTTCTTTTGAACTGGTGTCAAGAAGAAAATGTCAAGACACTAAAGTCAGAGTGAAGTTAACAATCTGGCCTCCAAGTCCATTAGAAGATTATTCATTCCTCTGATTTAAATACACAGAGGTGACCGCCACCCGTCACACACAGTG